TCCTCACGTACCACCCCACCAACCTCCGGATCCAACGCATCATCCTCCGACACTTCCGCCATCTGCAATCCAACCTCACCACCAAAGACATTTTTCCCTCCCCACCCTTATCTGCTTTCCAGAGGGACCACTCTCTCTGTGACTCCCTTGTCCGCTCCACACACCCCTCCAACCCCACCACCCCTGGCACTTTTCCCTGCAACCGCAGGAAATGCTACACCTGCCCCTACACCTCTCCCCTCACCCCCATCCCAGGCCCCAAGAAGACTTTCCACATCAAGCAGATGTTCACCTGCACATCTGCTAATGTGGTATACTGTATCTGCTGTTCCCGTTGTGGCCTCCTCTACATCAGGGAAACCAAGCGGAGGCTTGGGGACTGCTTTGCAGAACACCTACACTCGGTTCGCACTAAACAACTGCACCTCCCAGTCGCGAACCATTTCAACTCCCCCTCCCATTCATCAGACGACATGTCCATCCTGGGCCTCCTGCAGTACCACAACGATGCCACCCGAAGGTTGCAGGAACAGCAACTCATATTCCGCTTGGGAACCCTGCAGCCCAATGGTATCAATGTGGACTTCACAAGCTTCAAAATCTCCCCTCCTCCTACCACATCCCAAAACCAGCCCAGCTCGTCCTCGCCTCCCTAACCTGTCCTTCCTCGCACCTCAAGCCCTACCCCCATCTCCTACCTACTAACCTCATCCCGGCCCCTTGACCTGTCCGTCCTCCCTGGACTGACCTATCTCCTCCCTACCTCCCCACCTACACTCACCTTTACTGGCTCCATCCCCGCATCTTTGACCTGTCTGTCTCCTCTCCACCTATCTTCTCCTCTATCCATCTTCTATCCGCCTCTCCCTTTCTCCCTATTTATTTCAGAACCCACTTCCCCTCCCCCATTTCTGAAGAAGGGTCCAGACTCAAAACGTCAGCTTTCCTGTTCATCCAGCTCTACACCTTGTTGTATAAATCTGTCTCAGTTCCCTTCTCTGCCTGAATTTTTGTCTCAAGCTTTTCTAGCTGAAAAGCATACTCGTCCATTCCCTTTCTCTTCTGGAAATCTCTCTTTCTCTTGGATTTTCCCTTTCCTCTCTTGTTCCTTTGCCTGAAACTCTAGACTCCAAGCTTCCAAGCAAATTTGAGTAGGGTTACTTCGTCTGTTTCAGATTCTGTATGCTCCACCTATTCAAATTCATGGTGAGGCCAAGATGCTCTAGTATCTTGGGGGCTTCTGTGCTTTATTGCATGTATTTATTTAGTTCTACTTGCTTAGCTATAGCCTTCAGCTGTTCTACGTTAATGCGATGCTAATTTTGGTGAATTAATTGTTCATGTTGCATAAATGCTTTTACACTGAAGTCAGCTATTGTATTTTCTTTGCTTAATATTACAAAGATTACTGCTGTAATCCTTTCTGTTTTTGATTCAAACTTTTGGCTATCTCACTATTCCCTGCTTCTTCCAATTTTCTCTTAAAGTCAGATTTGGCTCATTTGCAATGAATTTATTCCAGATTGCAGCCCACAATTCCGTCATGGACTGAATTTATGAGCTCTCTTACTGCCTATGATCAGTATGTTTTGTGAATAAAGAGGTGTGTGTATCCTATTAAATAATTTCAATAGTAAGCTTTTATGATTTTAGATATGAATGGGGTATTTATTTTTACACTTCACCTGGATTTAAATTGCATTGTCTTGCACACTAGTTTTTATATACACACACAAAGATTGGTTACAGGTAAATGTAGTACTTTCACAACTTAATGATTAACTCAGTTTTAGGTTTACAAATACTAATTTCCTGTGTGGAAGGACGATAGCTTCTTGGATGGTTTTAATGGTCTGAAATCAAAATGAAGGTCTTGCGAAGCAGGTCATGAGGTTTCTTGTAATTGACCTTTTAGAACTGATTCTCAGAGTAACTTTAACTGAAACAAGTTAGCACAGTCCTCAATTCTGTCTGCATCGCCTGCTTTCTGGATATTGCCACTAATTACTATGGCTGCTTGAAAACACTTGCAGCTACATTGGCTTTCTGATGGAACTGTCTGCAAATATCTTTTAGCTAATTTTAAAAGCAGACAACATCATGACTCACTCATGTGACTTCTTAAAATTTCAAAGTCATTTTCCAAAAAAAGGAGAGTAGTGTTTGTATTAATTACAGATCCCACGTTATGGGATTTGAGGCAGTGTTCTTGTGTCTGAATGACCCATTCAATTGACAGCTTTTTGATTGGTTTCAGGGAAAGCATTGGTTCACATCAGTCTGAATACTTCCCTCTCTTTCCTCAAGATGGGGGGAGGGTTTCCAATCCATAAAAAAATGTTAGGTGATCTTGAGCAGCCATCCTTCCCAGCCTGTCTGTAGAGTTTTGAAATGTAAAATTAGTTTGAAGTTCAGAATAGGACTGGGCATGACAATGTTCCATCCACTGCAAAAAAACAAATTACTCATTTATGTGGGAAGTGGAATGTCTTTTTGGCTTCATGGTAGCATCCTGTTTGTGGTGAATGAACACTCATAATGCTACAGCATTGTGAAACAACCAGCTTCACATGTCTCTCAGACATTTGAGATACCTTACTCCTCCAGAATAATCAGTGATATACTAGCACTTTTCACGACTAACAGTGGTGGCTTTAGACCCATACACAGTGGAACAACTCCAAGTCTTTAACAACTCCAAGTCTTTACTGGCCCAAAACCTCCAATCAGTATTGGAACCGCTGCCTCTGACAGTGACCAAGCAGAAAACTGTGCATTTAACTGGATACTTAAAAACTTCAACTTCTGATGCAGCATTCAGAAGAACTCTCTGGGTGGAGGAATCATATAGAGAGCAACAAAAAGAATCAATGCAGCTGGCACACCCCCATTGAATGGCATTAGCTGCTTGCCATAAGGCTAGTTTAGATGTTGAGTGAACATAATGGTGCATAGCTGAGCGGATGAATGATTGAATGTTTTGGGTGGATAGGTGGGTTGGGTAGAAAGGTGGGTTGGGTGGATAGGTGGGTTGAAGGGAGAGCTGGATGTAAGGCCAAGTGAGTTGCAATGTTAATGCTGCAGCGGGGAAGAATGTTGGCAAGAAATACAAACTATGATGCTTACAAGTATTGAGTAAGTTGGTCCAAATTTGTGTGCATGTTGAAAGAATAAATTTCTCCCAAATGGATCAGCTTTTCCAGGGCTTCATAGATGAAGATTATGCAGATGAGAGAAGCAAATGCTTCCTCAGTGAAACGAGTTATATAACAAACAAGAGAGCTTGCATCAGTGGCAACAAGCAAGATACACAGGAAAGATGTCCAAAGTCCAATATTCGCTCTCAAGGACAGATAGGATAAATTGTAGTCCCTACAAAAAGGAAAGAGATAATCAAATTAAAAGAATGTAAAATTAGATCAAATAAGAGGAACATTCTGAATTCTAATGGTCATCTAGACATCAATGTCAGCGTACTAACTCAAGCTGTGCTAATCTCTCCTGCTGTAGAAGTGCATACAAAGCAAACATGACAGCTTTGCTAGAATAGGGGAGTGAGAGAAGGTGCATTTATATTGGGCAGATGACATAGTACAAGTGTTTACAAAGTTTAGATCTGTGGTTTTAAAAATTTATGTTAGGGTAGCAAATCTGTCAAGTCAGAGTGGGGCTCAGCAGGTTTTGCTGTAATATGATGGATGCTGATATACATTCTAGGTTGCAGAAATGAGTATTTCTAACCAGTTTCCCTGTTTTAGGTTTGAATGTTTTGGGATATTTTGTATTGAAGGTGAAATATCAGTAATGAGGAGTGGAGCACTTTATATGATCTCTTCTTTGTAACCCAATTTCAGCATCAAGTACTTCTGGGTCAAGTATGAAATTTGCATTTAATGCATCCAAAACTCACAAAGTAGGCTGTTACTGCACCAGTCATCCTTAGGATTCTCCTACTGATTTTCCTCATTCCATGTTGAGAACTGTGAACTGGAACTCATCTAAGGTGAGATCTTTCTAGTCTACACAGAGATTGTCATCTCCTCAGTGTAAGGTGAGTTTGAATCCAGATGGTCTTATAAAGGTTTGGACCTAAGGTTGGTGCCCATTATAATTAGTCAGATCTAACTAGTAAAGATGCTGAGGCTTTTGCACTTTAAACAATAATTATTACAGACTGTTAATTATTTACACAAGGTACTTAAGACACCGACATCTCCATCGAAGGCTAAGCAAGAAGTCCTGACCATATGATCTCTGCTACCATATTAGGTGAGGTAACTCACATTCTAAACCTTTCAAATCTTCTCATACCATACCTCCTACGTCTTTGTCCCAACTATTTTACTGATATTTATTTTTGTAATCATATTTGAACACTACCCCATCTACTCCACACTTCTCCCATATCTATATCTATATCTCCAACAGAATAAAAATGTTAACTTGCGCTTCAGATTTGTTGTCTAATCTTGAAGGAACCCTACATCTTTAGAATTTTTCTTCTCCATAATTCCCCATCTTATGTCAAATTTGGTCTATTGTTTTGTTTAAATCTTCCTTGGCTGTATCTGTTTCCTTCTTTAAACTTTTTCAGTATTGGAATTCCTTCCTTGTTTCTGACTTTCTCTGACTCTTGATTTTATTTTTTACGGTGGACTTATTTTGCACTGAAATTCTTCAATCACTTTAAAAGCTTTACTTAACTTCTGAAAGATCAACCATCTTTCTCTCTATGCTTCCAGCGGTATTTTAAATGCTCAACCTTATAAGAATGGTATTCTAAATTGGGATACGTCTCGCTGTCCTGGCTCTGCCTCCTGCCTCTGTTGGGATTTAAATTTTGGGTAACCATTCAGCTTGAGTATTCTGCATCACTTTCTAATTTTTTTTTTCTTTTATTATTAAGCCTGTGTATATTTTCTAATTAATCCTTAACTTTCGGCTCACTGGCTGAAATCTAGCATCAGGACCTTCTGGTTGGTAAACATTTTGTGCTTTCTGCATATCTCTCTTCAGATCTATTGTTAGTTCTTCTTGGGGGGAAAAAAAATGATAGAACATATTTTAAGTTGGCTCCAACATTGCCATGTTGTAAATGGCATCCCAAAGGCCAAACCTTCAGATCACATGCTGCTCACTATGCTGTAAGATTTGAACTGAAAGTTGGTCCCCATCATTATCAGTCTGATCAACTAGTAAATTTGCAAAAGCTTCTGTATCATAAATAGTAATTTTATTACCAATATGAAGTACCTGAGACATATCTATCTCCATTGACGGCGAGGCAAGAAGTCCTCTTAATGACATCATCAGGTGAAAGTGTGCTAGAACTCTGAATTTTCATTTCTGGGGGCTTTGGGTCTCTAGGTGCTGTGGTGGGCGACCCGGAAAATAGTGCAGAGACTGCTAGGTGCTGAGGCAGGTTGGGTTGAAAGCCTGCACCAGCATTTTGTCAAAGATTTTTTAAAAATAAAAAATAAAGCAACCCTCCAGCTCTCACCATTCACAGATGGTGGCATGGTGGTAAAATCATTGGAATAGTATTCCAGAGACCCAGCCTAATGCCCTGAGGACATAGAGTTAAAGTCTACTGCGGCAGCTGGTAGAATTTGCCAAGTAATAAATCTAGAATTGAAACTAATGTCAGTAATACTTCTCATGAAACTATTATCAATTGTTATAAAAGCTCATCTGTTTCATTAATGTCCCTATTGTGAAAGAAATCTGCCAACATGTGATTCCAAATCCAAATATGGTTGACACTGAAATGGCTGATCAAGTCACTCAGTTTCAAAGGCATTTAGGGAAGAGCAACAAATTCTGATCTTGTCAGCAACGTCCCCAAATTGTGTATGAAAATCACAACCCCCACATAATCTCCATGTCAACCCATGCTGCTATAGCACTCTAAAGCCCCTATGCCCTCTACCCTGCAACCATGGGTCTTTGCTCATCTGTTTTTGCACCCACCACTCCATGGCCCTTGATTAGCGTTCCTTCTAATTTTCTTTCCAATGTGTGGGCCTCCAAGATCTGTGTGCGGCAGCAACTTCTGGAACTTTAAGTCACTGCTGTGATCAGTGTGCGGACACTGATCACCATACATGGAACCTTGGAGCAGCACAGCTTACAGGGAAAGTTGCCCTTGATAACTCTTATGCCAACCTATGCTCTAGTCCCAAACCTTTCATAGCCCCTGTGCCAACCTGTTCCCTTCACCCACATAGGTGTTTATATACCCTGTGTCAATAGCGCCAATTCATGCATCATCTCCAGTCCACCACCATTTGCCATTACACTTATCATGCAAACTCAACCTGTATTCAAAATGGGCACACTTCAAGATACACGCTGAGATGAGATAAAATAAAACTTAAGCATGTGTTGAGAATTCACTATTTAAAAAGAAAACTCATTGATAAACACCCATTCACTACATTTATCTTCCTTTTGTCTCTTAGGAAAACAAACATTTGAATTCATAGTCCTACTTCAAATGGTCTATAATCACTTGGAGCTGTCAGTCAACTGTACACAAGAGACCCTTGCTGTGATAATGGAAGGCTGAAAACTAAGTCATGCAGTGCTAATCCTGTAATGGTAGCCCTCTCACTTATTAAAATATTTAAAAATGTCTGGAGCTTTCAATGCATTGACAGCCTAACAGTTCTGTTAACAGTTCCTGGATACAGTTCAAACGTGTTTATGCACTGTTTTACGCATATCTATTTCAACTTTTCACAATCTCAAAGGGCAGCTGATCTCCCTCAAAAGTGTCCTGCAACCATATCCAAAAGGTATCTTACTTCACCAAAAGGCTAGGCTATCAATCCAAGCAATTCTGCATAGTTTAGACCAGGCCAAATCTGCATGCCACATTTCCCATTCCTGGCTAATGAAAAACATACATGACTGGAGGCTGCTGCTGTTTTATGTTGGTCGTTACTTCCATGAACCACAGATACACAATTTGGAATCTGTCCACATTCCATTGGCCCTGCAAAAATGTTAGCTGCCATTTTGAAAGGCAGAGCTTTGACAACCATTTTCACAATGACAGGAAGGCTCTTCATCATCATCATAAAAATTCAGGCCTGTGCATTGACAAGTACAATAAGGGGAACTGATGGGAAACGCACAGAGTGTGACAATATAATGAAACCAAATATGTACAGGTGAAATGGCAAAAGCTGAAGCATGGTTCTGTCTACTGATATTTCTGCTCCTGCACCTAGTTGACTTAGCAATTTTTCCTACCAACACTAAAAGTTACAACAAACTTTGTAAAACAACCTGAATTGTACAGAAGAAAAATGTGGTGCTCAAATTGTTTGGTTAATTTAAACAAATTACTGATGGCAGGATTTGTTTCTTTGAGCCAAAGCTTTCTGAAATGAAGTTCCAGGCTCTGGAATTTTGAGTTTGTAAGACAATTCAATTTCTGTTCTATTCCATATTATGAGAGTTGGCTGACTGGCATGTTATTTTATTGGATGTTTCTAAACAAAAATATGTTCAACAATGATAGCACAATTTTGTTTTGGGTAGCTGGTTTGGTCTTCCGGAAGTTGGCACATGTGGATGTACCAATATTTGAAAGGGTCTCTTGGAGCTTGTCAATGATTACATAAGCTCTTTCATTCAGAAGAATACTGCAGTGCTTTGCAGCCTTTTAAATGCCTCCCAACAGGAACTTACTTGCAGAATTTGAATAAAATCTTTTCAAACACCAGCACAGGACCTGTGCTGCCCAGAATAGTAAGAGGTTGTCCAGCAAACAGAGAGTATGCTATTCCTGTCATGGAAGCCCCAAACAGAGATTCAATCGCACTCTGAAAAAGATGAAAAATATGTGTAACCATGACTGAAACAGATAAATTCAGTTGTTCCAATGAAGGAAATAGGACGAGTCAAAAATACTGTAAGACCAACTGACATCCTGGGCTTTAAAAATACCTGGATGCAAATACCATATCAGCAAGTAAATTATACGATGTTTTCATTAGCTTGCCCCAGTTAGAGTATTGCATCCAGTTTTGGGCAGTGTACCCCAGGAAGTTGTCAAAACCTTGGAAACCGTGTAAAGGATATTTATTAGAATGGTACTCAATATTTGGTAACTCAGTTATGTGGAGAGATTAAAGTAGGTGGGAGCAGAGAGGTTGAAGGGAGATTTAATAGAGGCATTCAAAATTCTGAGGGGGGTTTGATAGAATAAAAAGGAAAAACTCTTTCTATTATCAGAAGGGTTAGTAACCAAAGAAAATGGAATACAGGCAACAGGCAAGAGGAAAAAAAACAGGGAGGTCGTGAAGAAAATATATTTTAAAAATGTTTTGACCTGCAATGCATGACTTGAAAGGTGGTGGAAGTGGATTTAATAGTAACTTTCTAAAGGGGAGTGAATATGCACAGTGGAAGTACATGTTGGGGTCCAAAAGTGAAGTAATCTTATAGGTAAATCATCTTAATAAGAGAACTTCTATTTTTTCCTATTTTTAACTAGCAAAATGACAATTTAACTAAAGATAGACCTCTTTTGGGAACTATGAGGCACCCATGCAAAAAGTGAATTATGGTACATTGAACCACATTATAACTGACTTCCACTGTACTTAGAAATTTGCAAGGCTATGAAGAGAGATAGTGTGAGAAACTAATTAGACAGCTCTTTCAAAAAGCCTGTGCAGACTTGATGGGATGAATGACCTCTTTCTAGTCAGTAAGATTTGACGACTGTTTATAAATAGTTTATTGTACAAGTAGGATATAACCAAGCAGCCATTAAAAAATAATACATGACAGTCAACTAGTTGCTGCGCAAGATCACAACAGGCAGAAGCAGAAGTAGATCAAATGACCCGTCGAGCCTGCTTTGCCATTGAATACAATCAGGTGATTTAGGACTTCAACTCCACTTTTCTATGTGCTCTCCATATCTTTTAATTCCCTGAGAGATCTGGCTATCGCAGCCTTGAATGTAGTATATATGATGATGGAACATGCATAATCCTCTGGATACAGAATTCCAAAGATTCACAACACTTTGACAGAAGAAATGTCTCCTCCTCCTCAGTCCTAGATGGTACCCTTATATTCTGTGACTGTGTCCCCTTGTTCCAGATTCCCCAACCAAAAACCTCACATTGTCTACCCTCTCGACAGAATCTTGTACCTTTCAGTTAGATCACCTTTCATTCTTCTAAACTCCAGAGATGATGGGCCCAATTTACTCAGCATTTCACTTAGATTTACTAAGTTAAACAGCAAAACTACTGTGCAGTGAGGTTACTGCAGATAAAATCTTTTTCTGTTTTCTGATTTTGTTAAGTATAATTCCTAATCTTCCTTTAGTCCAGTCGCAAAACAAACACTCACAAATGGCCTTTGAAAAGGTAAAGAATGCTTCAACTTGAATTCGTTGCCCATATTTTCTAAGGGATCACTGAATGCACTTCTCCAGGCCCATTTGTTACTGTATAAAAACCAAAAGAACTGTGGATGCTGTAGATTGGAAACAAAAACAGAAGATGCTGGAAAAGCTCAGCAGGTCTGGCAGCATCTGTGAAGAGAAATCAGAGTTAACGTTTCAGATCCGGTGACCTTTCCTCAGAACTGTTGGTAGCTAGGAAAATGTTGGTTTATATCCAGAAGATAGGGTGGGGGGAGGGGGAAGGGATTAAACTATAGGTGGGGATATAGCCCAAAGAGAGAGAAGAACAGTTGGACAGACAAAAGAGTGGATAACGATCAGGTAGGAGGGTGAATAGCTGTTAATGGGGACTGTTAGTGGCTAACAATGGGTTGTGTGTAATGGCAGACCATGTGATAACAAGGCCTAGTGTTTGGGGTTGGGGGCTGGGACATAGGAGAGTTCAAGCCCTAAAGTTATTGAACTCTATATTGAATCTAGAAGGCTGCAGGGTCCCCAAATAGAAAATGAGGTGTTCTTCCAGCTTACGCTGACCATTGCTGGAGCATTGCAGCAAGCCAGAGACAGCGATACTGGCCAGGGAACAGGGTGGTGTGTTGAAGTGGTAGGCAACTGGAAGTTCAGGGTCATTTTTGCAGGCAGAACGTAGGTGCTCTGAAAAGCAGTCATCCAGTCTATACTTCTATAGAAGAGACCATATTGTGAGTAGTGAATGCAGTAGATTAGGTTTAGTGCAGGTAAAGCACTGCTTCACTTAGAAGGTATGTTTGGGCTCTTGGATAGTGGGGAGGGAGGAGGCAAATGGGCAGGTGTTACACTTTTGCCGGTTACACGGGAAGGTGCCGTAGGGCTGTGGGGGAGGGGGGTGGTGGGCGGTGTTGTTGGGAGTGAAGGAAGAGTGGACCAGGGTGTCCTGGAGGGAACGGTCCCTCCGGAAGGTGGACAAGGGAGGGGAGGGGAATATGCATCTTGTAGTGACATCTCGCTGGAGGTGGCGGAAATGGTGTCTGATGATCTTCCGAATGTGGATGCTAGTGGGATGGTAGGTAAGGACAAGGGCAACCCTATCGCTGTTGTGGGAGGGAAGAGAAGGGGTGAGGGCAGAATTGCAGGAGATGGGCCGGAGTCGGTCGAGGCCCCTGTCAACAATGGTGCTGGGGAATCCTCGGTTGAGGAAGAATGTGGACATTTCGGAGGCTCCCTTGTCAAA